GGATTGATACTTACGGGTTCCATGAACGCTTACTTCGCTCCGTCAATGCCTGCTCTATCGGTTCCCCAGCGGGCAAATCCTCAATTGCAATAAGGTTAAATCTGTAAATACAATCACATTTATAAGACAATGAAGATCGCGTCATGGAGGAGAGGCTTTTCTAGCAGTCGACAATTCCACTGTAGGATTGTTGGGAACATTGTTGAAAATCGAAATCAGCTGAGTCAGTTTTTGATAGACGTTGTTCGGTAGGGCTACATCATTCATTTTCGAAATGATGTTGATGAGGGTGGACAAGAGAAGTTCTAGTAGATTTTCTTGTTGAGGGGGGTTGGGAGATAACAGAGCGCATCCATTGGGGGTGGTGGAGGCTGGAGTATCTACAATACGACAGTGGGCTTCTCTATCGTAGCCTGGGCTTAGAGCAGCAGAATATGGGCGTCGGGCTATATTAACAGTCTTCTTATAAGAAGAGGACTGAGAATTGGGATGGAGTGGCTGAGAGAGATCAGTGTGGATTGTCGGAGGATACGTGGACGGAAATGATTGAGTCATTCGGGCAGTATCTGCAAATGATCTTCTCACCTGTGGGAACCTAGCCGATGCTTCTAAATATGAGATGCTTTCCTGTGACATAACTAATTTGATCGATTTTTGTCGACTGTGCTCTGGGCAGGATGTGTCAGTGGCAGAGTGGGGGCCGGAACAGAACAGGCATAGAGGGGATGACTTCGAGCAGGTAATTCCTTCGTGGGGTTGGGAGCAAATAAAGCAACGAGGGGCTGATCGGCACTGCGTTGAAATATGGCCGAATCGGCAGCACTTGTTGCACTGGATAATGGGAAGGACATAAACTTCAACTGGGAGAGAAGTAAAAAAGCAGAAAATCCGATTTGGAAGTTTTTGACCAGAGAAAGTTAAAACTACAGATTGGGTAGGTATCCAGGTAGGGACATTATTTTCTATTTTCTTCCTATTCAAGCGGCGTGCTTTAATGACTGCACCGCAGCCAGCAGGAACTTCTACCGATTGGACCAGCTCCTCTAAAGTCCATTCTACTGGAACATCACGCACAATTCCCATTCGTGTAACATTATAAGATGGGATGTTCGCTTCAAATTTAGCCGGCTGAAGTGCTGGGTGTTCTAGAAAAGCGTTAGCCGCAGCAGCAGATTTAAATTCCACTGAAACCCTGTTGCGGCCAATGCGTTTCACACCATCCTGTATTACATTTTTTATGCTGTTTCTGAATAGAAAGTGTCCGAATTTGATGGGTTTCAAGGTGGGACCAGCAGACACATCTGTTACCGTCTTATTAACGTGGACTAAAAAAGGGGCAATGTCATCTTCACAGTATCGGGTCTTACGTTCAACAAAATCGGGATGTGTGTACGTGGACTGAATCGACGGCGAAGTTTGTGAAAGATTAGTAATCGTTTTTTTAGGGGGAATGTTTTCCTCAGACTGTGGTGGTCGTTTTCTGGAATTGGGTGGATCTATATCCATCTGAGAAGAAAAGTTTTGTGAGTGGGGCGCACGTGGTCCTTTATAACCTCCCCCGGGATCGTGCGGGTCATCCATGATTCTTACCTTTTAATAATATAACAAACACAATATATTTACACTCACGGCACAACAGATATATACCAACACCAACACGAATCAGTAGCGCAAGTCAACAGCAATTTAAACAAATAATATTAATTAAAACACCGGGAAACTTCGAAGACACTTGTGTTCACACTCGACGTCACCCGAACTCCTACTTCGATAAGCAATAAATACATTTTTAAATAGTCATGTTGTGTCACTTCGTTAATTCCCGAAATTTTCAGTGCCGCCCTCGTGTCCAATTGAGTGGCAAAAATATATTTAGGAAACAAATAAACACCGGTGATTTTAAATTGAAAATCATAGATCAAACCCGTGTCCCTGATTCGAAATAACAAATGACAATAATAAAACAACAACTAAGCTTTCTGGAGCAAACTCCGCATATTCAAGCATATTGCAATAAAAGTTTAACAGGCGCGTTCGACGGTATAGTACATTGCTTCATTGCTCAGTTTTGTAATCTATGCTTTCTTTATACATAAGTTAATAATTTAATAATAATAAGTTAATAATATATTTATAGTTTGTAATTTTTGAGCAAAAGCAACCAAGGTGCACAAATAACATTCAAAACGCATCACGCATGATCGCTTAGGTCATAGATTCTTTTTTTTTGTTTTCATTTATTAGATGGATGGACGAACTCACGACTCACCTGATGTTAAGTGGTTACCGGAGCCCATAGACATCTATAACGTAAAGTGCCGCCACCCACCTTGAGATATGAGTTCTAAGGTCTCATAGGTTCTAAGGTAAGTTCTAATGTATGGTTAGTATAGGTAAGTCATAAGGATATTTTTATTATTTAAAAATTATGAGCATTAAATTATGAAGAGATCTAAATTCTGACGTGAATGTATTCGTATTTTGTTTTCTCTTCGCCATTTTCTGTTCAACATTCTGCTTATTTAAATTTCAATATTTAAACAAAATTATGGTACTAATTTGGATTTCTCTTTCTTTTCATCTTATTTAATCTCATTAAATGTTTATTGCTATTAACCGAACTTAACTTATAAAATAGTCTCAACAACCCACCATAATTTTAATTAGTATAGTTGCTCAATGGCTTGTACTAATCTACATCCTAACCTCAGTGATAGTAACACTTTTTCAGTATTACGAAACAATATTATAATAGTACAGACATGAAACCGAACATATTATCCACTACTACACTACACCACACAATACATATGTGTTCATTGTCTTCCAATTTTTTAAAGGTTTCTTTCACTTATCTCGGTTACTTGTACCACGCGCTCAACCGTCTCTATTCCCACTATTTTAGTTGGTCCAGTAATTACCTATTGGTTCTTTCTTATACATACGAGATGGGAATGACGGGAACACATGAAATTATATCACGTTTATATTATAATGTTTCAAGGATGCACACAAAAACTCGCTCAATACTGAATATTTTATCACAAGATATCTATCCTCCTCCTCACTGAGTCGCATTCGTCATGTCGGAGGGTCGTGATCGTCTCCTCCTATTATCCTTCTCTGGATGATGTTTCGCCATCTTCCTCTGTTCTCGGCGGTGCGTATGGCATCGTAGAATGTAGTATCCAGAGTGGTGCGGATTTGGTCGACCAGCGCATTGGATCGCGGCCACGAGACCTTTTACCTGCAATCTTGCCAGTTACCTACTATCAATTTTTCAAAATTGTCACCGCTCTTTCCGGCAAGAACTCAAATATCCTCTTAACGCAGATGGTAGAGAACCTGGTTTAGATATTGAGTAGTCTTAATATGGATGCGTTAGTCCGATATGCTGTCCACGGGATTCGCAGCATCTTCCTCCAGCACCACATCTCAAAGGCATCAATGCGGTGGCGGTCAGCTGATGTCAGAGTCCACGTCTCAGCACCATAGAGAAGGATCGAGAACACCAGAGTTCGGACAAGTCTCATTTTGGTTTTAAGAGAGATTTTCCTCTCTTCATGTTCTATGGGGCTGATATTTTTTTGCTATGTTCAATAATTTTGTAGCGATTATAGGTCATATAATAGATGCCGCTATAATTTCATGGTTTTCAAGTATTTGTGAGAACTGGGGAGACAGTCTTATCATTGATGGAAATACCGTCATCCCCACCAAAGACCCCAATTTCATATGCTACCTTGGTCTTTGATTTTATATACTGTAACAAACTAGAAAAAAGTTTATGTAGTATTATTGAGAACAGATCTAATTGATCTGAAGGACACTCGCGAGTCATGCATACCTACCTGATCGCAGTATGTTAATTAGCAGCACTAATTATTCCAATCAACATGCAGCGAATAACGGCCGGCTACCTAACGGTAATTGAACTTGTGCCTAAGTATAATGAATGTAAAACAATGTATTATTAAGTATATTATACAAATCATTTCAAATATCTACTGGTGGTAGGACCTCTTGAGTCTGCGCGGGTCTTGCCACCACCGCCCTTCCTATTTCTGCCGTGAAGCAGTAATGCGTTTCGCTTGGAAAGGTGGGGCAGCCGTTGTAACTATACTGAGATCTTAGAACTTATATCTCAAGGTGGGTGGCGCATTTACGTTGTGGATGTCTATGGGCTCCAGTAACCACTTAACAGCAGGTGGGCTGTGAGCTTGTCCACCCACATAAGCAATTAAAAAAAAATCACAATCGGCCCCATATAAGATAGAACTTACCGGCATGCCTATAACTGAAGCAATAAATACTGCCAAATATGCAGTGGTCAGAGAATAGTTTTCAAACTAAACTGAAGGTCGTCTTCAGAAATGAAGGTACCGACTCAGAAAAAGAAGCCAAATAAAATTGATTCGTTTTAATGGAAGTAAAAATATGTGCAATCAAGAGATACAAATCAATATTTTTGTAAGATTTAGATACTTAATTCGCCTCTCAGCTCTTCGAATATAGGAGCTCATTCAAACTACAAACTATTTACATTACCTACCCACCTACTTACCTAAAACCACCTCCAAAATTTATAATATTGATAGCCATGAATGAATGGAATGAGTCCTTGCGATTTTATATGAACAAGGTCCCAGGGAACAATACAAATGTAATATCTAGATCGTATTAATCAGCAATAGGATATTTTATATTGGAGATGGGACAAGACGGTTGGAGTAACTCAATAATTCGACGTTCACCTAGGACTCATCGATACGAGGTCGAAGATGGCTCCCTTTAACGCGGAATGCGAGACTGCTTGGCAACAGAATCAGGCGGGCCCTCAGAGCGATTCGGCCTACCAGCATCGTGAAATCGTCCAAGAACCAATGTCGAGGAAGGCTCTGGGATGATAAAGTACCAAACCCAGCCAAGCTTAAACTCTGCTATAATAGTGTGTGGCGAACAGTGTCGGCTATTGCATAAACGGAAATAAAATGAAACAGTTGTTTATAGAAAGTTTAATTAATCATAGAAGTATTTGAAAAATATCTCCAGTGAATGTAATAACAAACAAATTAAAACAATAAATTTTGTTAGGTACTAACATAATTATGACTTTTACACTATACTAGGGTAATAAGTCTAGGGTAATAATTAACTAAAATTTCCTTTAATATAAATACACTAGGTGAAGTGAATGTTTACAAGTCAAAAGTTCCTTAAGTTATAGCTAACACAGTACAAACATACACCGCATGCGCCTGGGACTAAGTGAAGAGGTAAGACGCAGTTAATGTCCAGCATTGTGAATTTCTGATTAAATAAACAGTGTAAGTGAAAACTGTGCACCCACTCTCGCACTCACTCGAGAACCGTTCACACCAGCACTAGCCTTGCCTCCTCCTGCCACACTCTGGCTGCTAGCTACCTATGGGAATGTACCACAGCCCGAGCCTCGCATGAGAATCTGCAAAGGCTATCCATCTGATAATACTGCGTCCGCTGCTAACAAAAAAATAGAAGTGATGCTAAATGGTCTAACCGCTCTTAAAGAGCAGTATAGCCACCTGTCCCAGGTAGAAGTAGATGAAGTGGCGAGTCTCGTGTGTCACATACGAGCCAAAATTACGACCCACGATGCAATGCCAGGTAGGATTGTATTTCTTGTCAAATTCTTTCTTGATGAATGCAGCTATGTCCTGTAAAATGCAAAATTATTGACTTCAAAATTTGATATTCATACTTAAGAATAAACAACATATCCAAAAATAGTATTTTTTTTATTTCATTTGTATGATTTTAAAATTAAAATTACTGACCTTTTAGCTAAAGGAGTTTTAAGCATTAAGATTACCTTTTCAATGTTAAATTTCTCGAGCGCTTGAGTTGCACAGTCAACAGCATCTTGCTGCATCTCTTCGCTCATGTCAGCATTCTTTATGACTGCTTTGCGATCACACATCTTGTCTTGGGTTTGTCTGTAATTTGAAAATTTGTCTTAAACATTTGCCCTAGTAAAAATTCAATTTATTAAGTTGTCGGTATAAACCAATAACATCATTTTACTTCTTACTAGAGAAAAATTCTGAATTTCTTTAGACTTTTAACGAATTTTATCGGCTGCATAAGACGCCTACATCTCGACTGATAATAGGGCTCCCATGTAGCCAGCCTATCTTATGTCAAATGATAACAGCAAGATTAATTTGTGCGAATGCATGATTGAAAATCGATTGTTTATTTTCCAGTAAGCTATTTATAGACTCCATAAAGGTCAAATGCAAAATCCGGGACACGAAAGCGCGCCCTTTCAACTATGTACCATTTTGATATATAGACAATTTAAAAACAAATTTTACATAGGCAGATTCATGATAACGCTTCATTTCTACATTTATTTACCTTAGCACCGAAACGGTATCAGAAGGTTTTCTAGTGATAATTCGAACGGAAGCACTGGCGCTTATACCCGTCATCAAATAAATTAGATAGCTACCACACAGCAAGCGCTAATCACTCAGCGCCGTGTAAGTTTTCACCTTAGTATAATTTCTATAGAAACGGGAATGTTGAATCAATACAAGCATCTGTTGTATTATCGCGAAACTTGAAATATTCTATAACCCGCCTTTCGTAGTACGTGAAACATCGTTCTTTAAAAATCTTTAAAACCGATATTATATTAAATAAACATTGACAATGCTTAAATATTCCTACTTAAATAATAATGAAAATACTCACTTTTGCTTCGATAAATGAACAATTTCTCACGTTAAGATTTTGATAACCGGAGATTCGATGCCTACTTTCCAGAGGATTCTTTCACAGGCTTCTTTCAACAAAATTGCACTCGACATGCGCGAGAGGGCGTTCTAAATTCAATTCAAATTTTCGAAAACTAAACTCTATGGTCAAACAGCGTATTTGGTTTATTAGTGGCCTGATCTACAAGGAATGATAATAATTTTCCCTAAAAACAATAATTAAATTACTGGCTAATTATAACAGTGAAAAATACTGCCTGCAATGCTTGTGTTTAAACTTAAATATTTTATTCTTTAGTACAGTTACAAGAAGATCTTCAACAAAACGAGGTTTTTGTCAAGGATACTACTACTAATTTAGAAAATCGAATGTTCGAATAGTAGTGTAATATATGCCATCGTAAAATCTAGAGCCAGCACGTTAGGACAGTGGTTCCAGGGAGCAACCTAAAACGGTTTACTAATATCTGCTATGGCAAGAGCAGTGCTTTGCTGAATCATGAGGAATTGTATATGCAGTGAAATGAAATGAAGTTGATCTATTTGAGACTGAACTCGATATAGATTTTAAACGAAATGAGATGAACTGGGATGAAATAATAGCTCCGTGAAATGGTACTTATTTACTCAAACCACAGTGAGCTTTCTTATATTACCTTTGTAAAAGCCAGGTCAGCAGCTTTTTTTTTTATTTTCTCTTACATATTCACTTGGACAGATGCTAAATGGTTAATAAGCCACCACTATTACACGCTTAAACCTGAAGAAACACTAAATTACAAAACAAAATAGTTCCTGCCAAAAAGAGTGTCGAAATTTACAAACGCTTTTCATTGGTCTCATCGTAGATAAATAGCTTTTAAGGCTTCGTTTCTATTGCCTTTCCAATGAATAAAATAAAGTAGTCTATGATGTTCGCATTTGCTTGTGTATATTGGTAACCCGGCAGATTTCGGACGCGTGCTTGGACTTCCTCTACATGACTCCATACTAAGTATTCTTATCAATGCTAAGTATTCTTATTAATGCTAAGTATCCTCAACATTAAGCTTTTTTGTGATTGAAGGATTACTGGTGGCCCTGAGGCCTTTCTAGTTTCACCAGGACAGGTGGGTGAGCAAAAGCGCAGCCAGGAGGGGTGGGATTACCTAACAGCTGCCCGAGCGCCTCCGAAGGAGACTCAACATTAAGCTTTTTTGTGATTGAAGGATTACTGGTGGCCCTGAGGCCTTTCTAGTTTCACCAGGACAGGTGGGTGAGCAAAAGCGCAGCCAGGAGGGGTGGGATTACCTAACAGCTGCCCGAGCGCCTCCGAAGGAGACCTATCAACTCAAGAGTAGCTGCTTTGACAGCTGATCCGACGAGACACTCAGCGGGCTGATACATAGATTAGGTTGCACGTCGAACTCTTTGTCGAGTTCTATGAGTACGGTTACCGGGGTCCCTGAGCCTGCTGCTAGTGTTAGAGCTGAAGGCGTCTAATGCAACGGTTATTGGATCTGATGGATCCGTAAGGACGTGTCTAGGGCATCAACGGTGACTGGCTCCTGCATGATTAGAATTCGAGGAGTAATCAACGGCGGCAACAATAAGGCGATTATCATGACGCATAGCCTTATTGTATTATTTATTTTATTTTATTTAATCCATTCAAGAAGATGACACCTTAAGCACAAGTTCAAGTACAATCCATTCAAGAAGATGACACCTTAAGCACAAGTTCAAGTACAAGTTCTCTAGTAAGTTCCTACTTGATTTTATATGGGAAAACCCATACTTTAATGTTACTAACATAACTCGAAACTGCCAATATTGATCAGCCTATATATTAATTTCCATTTGACAAAAGTGAAGGGCAGCAGGCTCGAAATTAGAAAGACCTATAAAACACGCTATAGGTACTGATTTCGATACAGAAACTTCCGGACAAGCAGGAAAGAATGATAAGTGTCCTGATCCTGATATCACCAAAAGCAAATTACATTTCAGATTAATTATTCAATTTTATGGTGTTTAGATTTAAAATGTGCCGGACGACTACATACACATTTTTGTTAAATCCTTTCACACGGACTTTTGTAAAAATTATACAGCCACATATTTATAATCTATGACCAGGTTTTTCCGCTTCCGTTTTCATGATTATCGTTTTCTTTTCTGTCAAATCCACCGTGATCCAAAATCGGGACATTGACGCCATATTGCCCGACTTTCAATTACATACAGTAAAGCGTCGGATTGGTGAAATTAGTCGATGAAGCCAACATAATAATAAGTAAACGTTTAAGCAATAATAATATTCTTTAGCTATAATGTCGGGTGGAAGCAGTAGCAACAGAAATGAGTGTCGTATATATGTTGGAAACTTACCACCGGACATAAGGACAAAGGATATTCAAGACTTGTTTTACAAGTTCGGAAAAGTAACGTTCGTTGACCTAAAGAACAGAAAAGGTCCGCCATTCGCGTTCGTGGAATTTGAGGATCCCAGGTGAGTGTTGAATTCGAAAAGAGCAACGGGCTATCTATATTACTAACGTTGTCAATGTCTGAGTAGCGATAATCATCCCGTGTCAGGTGGACGGAATATTCAGCTGCCTTTGAAGAAGATTTAAAAGAGCGCATACGGTATGCCGTATACACCGCTATCCGTACCCGACTGTAGCGAAATGAACAATTTGATTCAACGTTAATATAATTTTCCACACCACAGATACAGATTAAGTAAACATTTTTACTGATAAATGAAAATGGGACTTTACTTTAAATTAACAATTAATCATTTATTATTTTATGATTAATTGACAACTAATTAGTTTAAAAGTTGGCACATATTAAAATATATGAAGGTGGCACAGATTTAATAGTCTGCCAGAGCACTTGTATCCATAAATCTAATAATATTCACCTATGATTTCTAATTATTTCAGAAAAATGAAAATCAATAAAATTTGCTGATTATTGCCAATTATATAAAATTATAACACACATATAAACACACAACATATAAAATTAAAATTACACAATGAGTGATGTCAAAACTGTGTGTGATTGGTTTTTTTATTAGATTTGTCCACTTCATGGTGAGTTGTTACTGTCACTAATGAACGTCAAGAATACCAGGTGCACAGCTAAGAGCCTGCCTTGTTTCACTCCTAGTAGAATATACAGTCATATCTACCTAAATTAATCTGAGACAAGTTATTTTAATAAAATCTATTTTGGAAATCAGAGATGCAGATGATGCAGTAAGAGCCAGGGATGGTTACGACTATGATGGGTACCGTCTTCGAGTCGAGTTCCCTCGTGGAGGTGGAGGTGGAGGCTCTCGTGGTTCTCGAGGCGGTGGTGACCGTTGGGGTGGACGAGGGGCAGCACGTGGTCCGCCCGCTCGACGCTCTGAATACCGCGTGCTCGTTACCGGCTTACCGCCCTCGGGTTCCTGGCAGGACCTCAAAGACCATATGCGAGAGGCCGGCGACGTATGCTTTGCAGACACCTTTAAAGATGGATCTGGTGTTGTGGAATTTTTGAGGCATGAAGATATGAAGTATGCTGTTAAAAAGTTAGATGATTCTAGATTTAGGAGTCATGAGGTTAGTTTCTTCCACTTTATTTGAAAATAATTATAAACATAACCCTTAATGTGAAAGAACAGTACTGTTGGTGGATTGTCCCAAATTTTTTATCATTGTTACCCAATGTGGACATAAAAGTTTCAAGATAATCAATTGTGTCAAATACTTTTATAGTTTAATTTGAATTTGTTAGAAGTTTAAGGCTCATGAAGGAGAAATTAAACCATGGGATAGTGCTTAAACTGTTCATTTACAAATGGCTGCTCAAAATCAACAACTGTTATTTTGTGTCAAACTCAGTAGATATTTATAATGTCCAAAATTGCATTCTGCAAAACTCAAGTAAATAAAGTAAGCAAAACAAACTTGAATTCTTTAGCTAGGTTGGACCAAGCTGTCTCCTTTTCCTGATTATTTGCAATAACAGTTTTTTTTTTTTTTTTTTCAATATTTTGTCTGACCAAACTTGTTACCAATTTGTTTACTGAATTATAAAAAATGAGATTGTCCTTTCAACATACAGTTAAATTTTTTTTTTAAAAAACAATTCACTTGTCAAATATGGTAAAGTAATTTCAGTTTGAAAAAAACTGATATGAGATTGAAAAGAACAAATGGAATGCAAAATGTGTGAGACATCAAAACATCATCTCAGTTTAAGTAAACTGAGTTTGCTTTCATATTGATATTACAAAAGAAATTTGAACCATGGATCAAATTTGAACCAAGCTTTCTTAATCTTGATATTACAGACCTTATGGTCATAGATGATGAAGATTATAAAATGAATGAAAAGAAAGCTATATTACACTGTAAAAGCGTTTTATAATTAACTCAAGAAATTTAAAAAGCAAGCAGTGTCATGTAGTGCAAGATTTAGACGTCTATTAAATATTCATTTCCAGGGTGAGGTGACATATATACGTGTGAAGGAAGACTATGGCGGTGGCGGCGGCGGCGGTGGTGGCGGCGGCGGCGGTGACAGGTACCACTACATACCATTACTACATTAACTGACTACTATATCATTTAATTGGCCAAATATATTGATTAAACTAGCTGACCTGGCAGACTTCGTAGTGCCTCAATCGATAAATAAAAGACCTAACTATTGTATAAAATAAACTTAAAACAAACAAAAGGAATCCGTCCAACGGGGGACACATCAAAGGAAAAACAAAATTTTATTTTACCTTTTAAACGTCTGGACTTCCACAAATAATTCAAGACCAAAATTAGCCAAATCGGTCCAACCGTTCTCGAGTTTTAGCGAGACTAACAAACAGCAATTCATTTTTATATATATCGATTTTGTTATCTCAGCCCACCTTTGGACATTAACAATTGTGTTGGATAACTTAGTACTATTAAAACTGTCTTTGCTAAGAAGATGTAATTACTTCTAAGGTGATATATTCTTCACAAGGTCTCGGTCATACTCCCCGCGGCGTCGCGGCACCCCAACCTACTCCCCGGTGCGACGCTCCTACTCGCGCTCGCGCTCACGCTCCCGTTCGCGGTCACATAACTACTGACTCCCACAAGGTACTGTACTCTTATGAGATTATATCTAATTAAACATTGCTGTTCACATTTGGTAGGTTCTCTATAATGTTCATACATTGTTAGAAACAGGGATTATTTATCAGTGGATAAAACTACCATTCTATTAATAAAAACTTAATGGACTTGGATAAATTTAGTCTTATAGATAACTAGCGAAAGTAGGAATCATAATCTGGTCAGCATGGCCGTGCAGGGACACCCTAAGGATACAGATTTTCATAAAATGTAAACATTAGAAAGACCGATGAACATTAAGCACAATTAACATTTGATTACAATTAATGCACACCATATGTTTACCGACATTGTTGGTTTGTCAAAATCAATCGGTAAGTACAAATGTTTTCTATAATTTAGAGACATTCAAATTGAACATTTACCAAATAATTAAGTAGTTTTTTTAAAACTACTGGACAGCAAATGTGAACTAAGCAACTGACTTTAATGATCATCAGAACTTCATTTTAAATAATAAGTGGTTATATCATATAATGATGTCATCAAGTTAAAATGATTGTTTTTATATTGTAGCTGTGTTCATAAAAACATACTGAATTTAAAAAAAAACGACATTTTCACAGCCTATGACAGACAAGATCCCACTATAACAGATTTTAAAAATAATCCACTATGCCAATTACTCTAGGAACCCAAAATGGGAAATGGCGATATACAACATGTAACATATTTAACGCACACCCTCAAACACCCCAATTAGACTTTAATAGTATAAACGCTATGCATACACCAAATATTATTTATATGCGCGTTAACATTGATTATTTGTGAAATTAGTTATTCCAATTTCGTGGAAATAAAATGGTCACCGATTCACACTCCGCTGCGCACGCACACACAGACACCTACTCGCCGCGCCGCTTGTTCAATGCACTTTAATGACCGTTTTCGTATTTGTTGTTTTATTTTAGATAATACTGCAATGTCACTTTTCACTTTATCAAAGGCGGTTATTATCTTATTCTTTAGTTCTTCGGCACTTATTGTCTGTGTGTTATAAACTAGCGATTTAATTCGCCCCCACAAAAAAAAGTCGAGAGGCGTCAAATCAGCTGATCTAGGAGGTCACTGACCGAAAAGACATAGCGAAATACGGGAGATATTTTATTTGCACTATCACTTGACCTCTTATCGATAAGGTGGACGCGGCGTGACTGACTTGTCAAAAATATTTTGTTGACTTCGTTGTTTAGATTTTTCTTTGATCACCGCCGACGCAACCGCGTCGCCGCGAACATCGGGATTAGCCTGCCGTTTATTGTAAGAATATTATGCCGACGAAAGAAAGGGATAGTAATTATTTTTGTATTACGTGGTTTTCTTTTATGTATTGTAGTGTTGCTGTGTGCCGGCGGTTGGTATTGTGTGCGTAGGTATTTTATTTTGTAATAGACTATTAGCCTTGAAATAAGTATCAGATTTCTTTAATTAAATAAAATTTTTTTTTACTAATTAGATATTTCATTTTAAAAAGTCTTAATACCCTGACTTACGTTCCATTTTCGTTTCTATGAATTGTTTAGCTAGCTGTGTAGGGTGACTGTAATTTACTTAGTTTTAACTAAATTTTAGAAAAAAAATTTGGTACATAAAAAACAATCAAAATCGATCCAGATTCCGATTCTGAACAAATTACTTTCAGGGTGTGCGTTAATTATGTTACATGTTGTATACACAAAAGGAATCTCAAAACATAACTTTTATGCTAAAACAAAAAAAAAAAAAAGAAAATAAATTTAGATCTAACAATTTTGTTGAGTTTTCTAGTACAAATTTCACTTCTAATGTAATTTTATCTACTAACGTCACACTATTATGTGCGAATTCTCCAGACCATTTCAGTGCATCAAAAGTAGTATAACTACGACGAACTTTTCAGGACAATAATCTACTGTTTAAGCAAAATAAAAGATAGATAATGATATTAAAAATAGATTTTGTTGTGTATTAGTGAGGGTACTTTTCTCTTTAAAAGGATTGCTAAGTGCGGGTTGTATAAAGACAGACACACAGTGAACTGACTTGTTACCCAACATGTGTGCATAATAAAATACTGGTGTTCATAATAAAATAATAAAACATAATAAATTTAAAATTTAAAAAAATGAAGAAGATGAACAATTCTGTGTGTTTGTGTGCAGCCGTAGAGGTCAGTGACACGCGCCGAGAGGTCATCGCCCCCGGTGCCGCCGCGACTCCCAGCTGTTTGTAGTTCATAAGCCCTCCCACTTGTATACAAACAAACATTCACGTTCAAATGCAAAAATTACATGTTAGCTCTCACTGTATCTTTGGAGACTGTTTTGAGATGAATTTCGTCGGTACTGCTTTTCATACTGTAATGTCCTACAAATTGTGCAATGATTATTAAATTGGGAATTGATAACTAACTGTAGGGTATGAGCTAATATTACGCGAGTTCACTTGTACAGTGAGGCTACAAACCTTAGGACCATGTTTTTGTTCAAACAAGACTTGAGACATAATATTTTTTAATTTATTTATGAAAATGTAAAGTATAATAGATTCAGATGCATAGGGAAGAAATGAATTTTAAATAATGAAAATGTAATACTCATGCTAAATTGGATATGGGCAAAATTAAAGGGATACTTCAATTTTCCAAAGTTGTAAGCAATTTTATATTTGACCAACAGTTAGTTGTGTATGTATATCATATCGTCTTTAATTCACACAAAGGTGTTTGTTCTCTTTAAATCCAAAAACCTCAAATTTTTTGTTTTGTTAGACAATTTTGAATCTTTATTTATAATTTGCTTTTGTTTTTTTAAAGTCTCAAAACAGGTTTTATCCAAAGCATTCTCTAAATTCTACTAATTGGATGATGAGTTAACAATACAATTTTTTTATAAAAAATGTGTCAATAATCAGAATATTGACATTGACGATTTTAAAACTTCACAGTAGAAACTCATGACTTGTGTAAAAATATATTTCACAAAGACTATTGTTTAGGAATTTTTGCTTTTGAACGTGCCTTTCAATACTTTGTTTCGTTGACTGTTTTAATTTTAAAAATTTATTTTATGAATTGGTGATGGTCTCAAAATTGTAATGTATTAGATATTAGAGCAAACACCCGCGAGTTTGCGACTGAACCACTCTGATGGAAACCATTATACATTTTCAATATAATCTTTCACGATTCCATCCATATATAAATATCTCTTTTAAATAATTCATTGTAAAGGTGATTTTTTATTAAAATTGTGAAATTAAAAAAATAGTCCACGAGGCACAGCGTTGTTGACACTGACACCGTAGTAATGTATAATAAGACAGAAGGTTTGACATGTATAATTAAAGTAATTTTCTTTTGTTTCATCGACTTTGGATCGTTGGATGTGCTTGGATGGGATCGTTGGAGGTGTGAGTCAGGATCGGAACACGGATGTTAGTGTCGCGGGCTGTAGGACACGACCGGGGGCCTGTGTGTCGCACTGGACGGATCAGGACCGCTGGACGCGCCGGGTATGACGTTATGATTCCTTGCCAAAATAACTTATGTTGAGTGCACGCGAACGTACCGACCTACATGATGTTTGAATCCTTCACTCACTTTATTTGCTTTCACCTCGACGCCCCGTCGGCGGCGGCGGACCCTCTGACACACGCTTCTGTGCTGCGGACGAGAGAGAGTTGGACGCCTGGGAGGTCGGAATGATTGATACGGCAACGGAATTGTGTAATAATGCCTTTGTCTGGTCTTACATATATATAGGTTTAATGATTATTTTGGTTTATAATGTAATTTAGTTATTGGATCTGCATTCCAAAGACCAACCACAGTTTGATGGACTTAATAAATCACTGGAAATAAATTGGCGTTTTATTGAGCTTGCACCTCGCACTGCGCAGGTGCTAGGCAGGCTAGCATCCCGCCCACCTGACGATAAGTGTTATTGTCGTCTATAGGGTCGGTAATGCCAGGACCTCAGTCAAACCGCTGCCTACCGCTGTCTCCACAAATTTCGTTTGAAGAAGTACCAGGACCCAGCGCCCGAGAAACACCGTAGAGGGAGCTCATTCCAGAGCCGGATGGTACGGGGCAGGATAGACCTCTGGAGACGCACTGTCGAACACAGCCGTTCCAGGTAGTATGGATGAACTCTGCTCCGATGGCGGGGAGTGCGGGGCAACGTGGTGGTATCCCGGATAAGGATGTTATTCGCGTGGCTACTCCTCTACCCGGGACACAGCGGCTCGTTCTGTTCCGTGTGACCGCGCGTTATTAAATGTATTATTAAGGGAAACAAAAACAAAGCATATGTAAATGAACATTGCTATTTCTAATCTTAAACAATAGAGTACGTAATTAGATCTTGAAGCCGGAGTGGATGGCCACGGTTCCGAACGTGAGGTTTTCGTAGGCCACCTGTCTGAAGCCTGCATCTTCTATCATCATCTTGAATTTCTCCTGAAATTAAATTCAGTTTAATTTGTGAAGTCTATTTTTCACTAGTGTTCAGAATCCTTTGAATATTGGAAAAAATACAGTTTATACAGGTTATAATTTTGATATCACACTGGGAGCTGTCACTGGACAACGAACGTCCACCTCAGTAAACACATCCGTCACGCGACGCTTATTGCTTAGGACGAGCTCCCCTCGCGTGACTGCTCCGCGGCAGAAGTGGGCAGGGCCTACCGCAGGCTACAGTTCACAACTCTGGAACCATCCCTTAACGTTAGATTGCTGCACACCTGATTAGGAAACTGCCTGATGCTCTCGACGAGGTACTGGTACGGCTTCCACTGGCCGGCCACCAGCTGACCCAACACCGGGATCACTTGGAACGAGTACTGGTCGTATGCCCTGGGGACGCGCAACTAATTTATATATTTATAGGAGCAGCGCACAGCACATTGTCATTACAATGCTAAGGTCGAAAGTTAAAACACTTATAGGCTATCTCGTTGTAGGTAAAATTATCAATGGTATAAGCTGCGCAAATAAAGAAACCAATCGAAGATGGCGTCTATGTACCTGCTCTGAGAGACGGTAGGGTCAATAAATAAACATAAAGATAGAAAGAAAAAGCTGTTTATTCTAAAAAAAAAAAAAAGAGAATAAGAATGACTTTACTTTATGCCCTGACAGAGGGGGAGGTGTCTCATCTGGGATGCAACTTGCGTAAACACTTTGCTGCCAGTCATCTAAGTCGTACAGCTCGAAAGTGAAAAAACTCGAACTCAACAACAAAGTCAGAACAGTTTTTTTTTTGCATGCAGTACGCGCCGTGTGCGACTACAGACAGCAATCGTTTAGAGTGAGAGCCATGATCGACGCCGCCGTTTTAGATTCATTTCTTTATTCGCGCTGCTTATAAAAATTATTCACAGCCAAAACTTTTTAATTAAATTACTAGCTGATCCTGCGAATAAAAATAAATGCTCTGTCGATATGCCAACAGCTCCGGGGACCGCGCCGCCCCCGAACAAGGGCTGCTGCACTGTCCCAACTGATTGATTTGATTGAATTTATTTGAATTCATAAAATCATCGTATCTCTGTGCTGTCCGACTGCACATCACATATAATAGTTTCATGCCTTGCACTCACTTGCGTTGTTAGCAATATGCTGCAGTAGGCTCCGTGGGTCCATGACCATGACGGAACCACTCGCCATCAATGGGATCACATTCAATCACCAATACAATGAGTTCCATAATGCTGTTTCAATATCTACAAAAAAAAAATGAAGACCATTTTTAGGGATCTTCAGATTGATAACAAAAAGTGACGAATAATATTCCCGCCGCTTTATATTGCCTCATCGTTGTGTTGGAGCAGACAACACGACCGCGGCCGCCCAGCAATGCACAGTGCACAACACGACGAGGGACCAACAATAGAGATTTAATATTATCTACCTTCGTAAATTTTACAAAATTATTAATCAATTTATTCCCGTCACTTTAGTGCAGTAAATTTAAAAATGTAAAAGCTATTGGTCATCCCTTATCATGTGCACTATATTATTTTATGTACCAATACAGCGATGTTGAGATAGCATCAGCTCACCACTGTAAAGCCTCGTTAGGTATTTGACTGAACTCCAAACACATAAAGCGTCCGCCCGGCTTTAGCACTCTGTATGCCTCCTCTAAAACCTAAAACAAAAATATACCACATATTATAATCACCCCCACTCTGTAAGTAAGGTGTCAATTCAATTCAAAATAAAAACATTTTTACTCCTCATAGTGGGGAGTGAAAATCTAGTACTTGAATGGAATATGGGGAAGGCTAGTATTCTGATATTCAATGTAGAATCCCAAAATGATAAAGATTTATCATTTCAACAATTCATGACAGTAAGCTCGCTATCATCACTTAAGGTCTGGAACACTGCCGTCGTTAAACAACATCGTTCAATTCAATACAATTCAAGTCGCCAGCGCTGCTGCAGCAGGATGCCTCCTTCTTCATTTTAATTCTTGCTTTTAAAAGAACATTGGCAGTTTCCCCTGACTACCCAATGTTCAACTATAATCGACATATGGGCGGTTGGTGTTTGATAAGCAAATGAACTCAAACCTTATCAATATGGGTACAGTTTCTGATGCCAAAAGCAATAGTATATGCTGTGTAGGTGTCGTCCGCTACTGGAAGCTGTTCAGCATCAGCACACAACCAATCTATGTCCACACCACTGGATTCCTTTGTGTAACCTAACCTGAAAAGTATATTTAATAGATAAAGTATAGATTCGCCTACATTAAAATTAAGTTTTTTTCATTTTTTATTTCTTAGATGGGTGGACGAGCTCACGGCCTACCAGGTGTTAAGTGGTTACCGCAGCCCATATCTACAACGTAAATACCGCCACCCACCTTGAGACCTGAGTTGTAAGGTCTCACTTTAAACAGTACAACAGCTGCCCCGCCCTTCAAACTGAAATGCATTACTGCTTCTTGGCAGAAATAAGCAGGGTGGTGGTACGTACCCGTGCGGACTCACAGGATGTTCTACGACCAGTTGTTATTATTACATTTAGAAAAAAATAAACAGAAGCTTCATGTGGGTCCACTAAAGCCTGATTGGAATTCTGTGTGTAATCAATTTAAGTGATGTAGGGTCTGAATGTAACTTTTGTGTCATGTATGAGTTTAACATTAACACGGGAGAAATAAAATCTAGATTAGAGTCCATCTAATGTGAAATGTTTTCCCCATTGTCAAAGCTATCAGATGCCATAGTCACTACAATGTGAACATCGCACTAAGCCCACCATGCGTAATGAGGTTGAAATCACAATTGTATTGAATATTGACTGGCCTATCTTCAAAATTGAGTGCACAAATCACCACCAACTAGTACCAAACTTAGTAATGATTGATTTATGGAAATGCAGTAGATACAAATTGTCCATCACAACTATCTATATTATAAAAAGAATGATGTAGTAAGTGATGACCTTTCTGCTCTGGCTTTTCCTACATCCAGCATGGCCTGGTTTATGTCACACACTGTGACAGAGCTGCAAGCTCCTTCTGTAGGTTTTGAACGAAGATTTTGAAGATATTTTATGTACCTAAATGTAATGTCCCCTGAAACATTTTAAGTTTTTGTAAGTCATAGATTAAGAAAAACTTGAACTGCAACATTTATTTGTTCACATCTAACAGTGTATTTCTAAAGATAATTTATACTAAGCACTACTACTACTACTACTATCAGCTCTCAGATGTCCATTATTAGAGATTCACTGCAACCGCAAGCTCACAATGACCAGTTCTGTGCTGCTCGCATCCTACAGATCTTCGAGACCTTCAAAAGGTTTCAGTCAACATTGTGGAAGGACTACCCATGCATGTCTTGCCAAACAAAAGAACTCCCACTGGACAAATTGGTTTGTGCATGTGTTTTTTTATTTTTTATTATTAAATATAAATTATGACACGTACAGCTTCAACAGAGGTTTAAAAAGTGCCCTTAGAAGTCAGCCTGGCTATACCCCTAATGTTGCCAATGTCTATAAGCAAAATTAACCACTAATCACCACAGTATGGGCTACAATTTCAAAAATCAAAACATTTTTTATAAAGTATAAATTCTTATTGCAGTTGCTTAAAGCAAGCTTCCAAAAACACAAGTTTCATAAAAATTTAAAAGAAATTTAATTTAAAAAACAACATTAAAATAATAATAACAACAAACCTGTCCCTCCAGCCATATCCAGTAAACTGGTATCCGGCATTGGTGCCAAGCGAGCCATGAATATGTCTTTCCATACTCTATGTATTCCAAAGGACATTACATCATTCATTAGATCATACTTGCCTGCTACCGTTTCGAATACTTCGTGAACTGTGAATATATGTTTTAAAATACAATAAAATTTGAGACTACATTTATAATGTTTGACGAGTTTTATTTTTGTTTAGTTATTTTTTATTTATAGAATTTGAATATGTAATAGTTTGAATCCTTGGTTATTGTGGGCTCATTATACGCTCACATTGCGATGTCTACGGATTTCTCATAGCAGAGCAAGCAACTGCATAAATTTCCATTCTTTATTCTATTGTACCTTTCTTAGTTTTTTCATTTTCGTCAACAGTTTGAAATCCAAAATGAGTTTGGTTTTTGATTTGTTTATCTTCATTGTTGGCAGCGGACTGTGTGGCCAGTAATCGTGCCCTGATGTGGGGCCGCGAAGGCCTGTACGTTTCAGCTAAACGAAATAATCCTCTCTTCAGAGCCATCACAAAATTTGTTTGTTTTGATGTTGATCACTTTTCTCTGAAGAGGTTACATTTAGAACTTGCATACATCATTTAAATCAGCTGGTTTGTCGCATAGACCTATATAATAGGGACACGACATATTGTTCTATACGTACAATTGCTTATATAAATAGCACCCATTTTGAAGGCACATACATAAACATATATCTATCTCGTTCTTACTCAGCACTTTAACTCGCAGGAAAACAATATAACAGTATTTCAGTGCGTACATAAAATGAAACATGAATATACGTAAATATCTCCGTCTCCGTCTAATGAGGCCGAAAATCCGCCATGTTTAGCGCGCCAAATGTCATTGTCACGTCAGTTCGGCCGTCTGTTTTGGGTTGTACATTATTTA